CAAAATTCGCAGCGGGTAGTGTACAGCATCGATTTCTGTGGAACCCAGTAGCTGTCAAAACTTTCACATTTTTACGAATAACTCGGAAATCGTAACGTTTTCAGGTAAAACGTTTGACACAAACTTAACTTAAATTTTGACGACAAATCTGAAAATGAATGAAAAAAGGGGCAGTTCCAATTAAAAAACCAAAGTTGGTAACTACCACACGTTTATGATACACCCCGTATATTGGAAAGTAATTTTAAAATGTGGACCTTTTAAACATGAAAAACTTTCGTAGGACGTATTTTCTTGTAAAGTTCATATTTACTGAGATATCGCACTTTGACGCACTAATGAGCAACCCTGTATATTGTTTTAGTTGTCTTTAGTAGGCATATATTATTTCTGAGATTTTTGTTGTTTTCGAGGAACTCAGACGTTCCAAGTGGTTTTGTCGGTTTTGGTTATTTATTGCTTATGCAAATTATTTGAGTTCTTTTGTCAGCCTAAATTTCTGTGCAGTGTTAGTATACTTTTTGGATAGCGATGTTTTTTTGCGTTTACGTGTGTATATATCGGGTGTTTTTTAATAAGTGTTAGACATGTTTTAGGCCGATTTTACGGGTATGTTAAAGATAAAAATGCATACAGGAGCTACGTAGTGCTCAAAAATTAACTTTAAATTTTGTTTTTTATAAGTAGTATTTTATAGCCTCTCGACATTCGGACGAAACTTGATATTTAAGGGTTTTATAAGTAGAAACTTGAAAAGTGTTGTTACTCGTTTGGGCCTTACATTTATATGACGATTGAAGTCATAACTGTTTCGTGCATGCTTGTAACACCTTTTCTAACAAAAAAATAAATTACTCAGTTATATGACCACTTATGAAGACCACTGTATATTTTAAAGGATAAATGTCGATGGTGCATTGTTACGCTATATAAGCTGCGCATTCGACATAGTAAAATTAGTCTTAAGTTAGTAAGACATGGTGTAATATCTCGCTGTCGTAAAACACATTTTTGGTTCGTAATAAACGTTTTTTAAAAACAAGTTTTTTACATCCAGAAAC